TCGATTCCCAGCCAGAGTAGAAACATTGGGCGTGTTTCTTTCCACCTGTTGTCTATGTTCCCCATCAGTAAAATGGGTACCTGGGTGTTAGTCGACTGGTGTGGGTCGCATCCTGGGACACTGACCTAATTTGCCCGAGATGCTCAGCATAACAAGTGGCTTTCTATGTAGTAGTATGTCATTGTTGTCAGCTAGGACTGTATACCATGTACATGTACTTGTAGTAAATAAAGATTATTATTATTAATAAGAGTAATGTAGAGCATTTCCTACAACTTGGGTTAATTTTGTCCCCCAGGATGCCACCCACACTAGTCCACTAATACCCAGGTGCCTACGTACTGCTAGGAGAACACTGACAGCAGGTGTAAGGTGACTAACACCCAGGTACCTACTTACTGCTAGGTGAACATTAATAGCAGGTGTCCCTGTGTTTCCACCTCTTATAATGCAAGGCACTCGCTGTCCATTGTTGTCACGTTGGGTGGGGTTCAGTTCTATCAGGGTAACCATGATATATACACGGTGTCCACAGAAACACTCCCTGATTTCAAACAGGTATAACATGTAACTTTGTAATAATCTTTCATGGTTAGTAGCTTCAGATACAGGATTTCATTCAGTTTCATGTGGTATAGGGTAGCATTTAAGACACTCAATGTGCGCCCCTCTGGTTGCTCAGCAAACATTGATGCAATAGTCCAGTTTGATCCAGATGCTCTGCAGCATATCTGGTGTTATCATGCAAATTGCTTCAGTGATTGAAATTTTCAACTCCTCCAGGGTTGCAAGTAGTAATGGTACGTAAACTGTGCTCTTCACATACCCCCCCAAAGAAAGAAGTCACAAACAGGTCCAGTGACCTCGCAGGCCACTTGCAGAGGTCACAGGACCTAACTGTTTGTGACTGCTTTCTTTGGGGGTACATGAACAGCACAGTTTATGTACCATCACTACTTGCAACCCTGGAGGAGCTGAAAATTTCGATCACTGAAGCAGTTCGCATGATAACACCAGATATGCTGCAGAGCATCTGGATTAAACTGGACTATTGCATCGATGTTTGCTGAGCAACCAGAGGGGTGCAAATTGAGTGATTTTAAATGCCATTTTTCATACATTTGCGTAAAGGAAGGATTAGAGCTGTATGAATGGGATAAATACACAGCACATACAATACTTACCTTAAAATACTGACATATCTTTTTCTTTCAACATGCTGGCTGTCCCCCACCCAGGCAGGTGACCCAAAAAAGAAACACTTTCACCATCATTCACATATAATCACTGTCTTTGCAGAGGCGCCCAGATACGACAGTTCAGATGTCACTCTAAACAGCAAATATCCCAAACCTTTCCTTTAAAGTGTAGGCACAGTACTTCCAACCTCCAGGACTCAAGTCCGGCTAACCAGATGGAGTTGGCTGGTTGACTGGACCTGTGGATGAAGCTCTGTTTTTTTGTCTTTGAAAATATTTTTGTTGATTTGTACAGGATAATCTTCTGGATTTTGCATGAGAACTGCTCTTGTTGCATCACCTAAATTATATGACCAGTTATCTAATTATTTTTTAATTTTATGACCAATACATATTTTGTATGACCGTTATGTACAACATACCTGTTTTGCATGACTTATCTGTAGTGTACAGCCTGTTTTGCATGGCATATGTTGTTATACTGCCTGTTGTATGACCATATATCCATTGTGCAACACCTGGAGAATGTAAGTAGTTCCTCAGCCTTGATATATCTGAAGTAAAATACAGTTGTTAGGAAAGACACATATGCAACAGTTAGGTATCTTTATTTCAAAACGTTTCGCCTACACAGTAGGCTTCTTCAGTCGAGTACAGAAAAGTTGATAGAAGCAGAAGAGACTTGAAGACGATGTAATCAGTCCATCACCCTTGAAGTTTTGAGGTGGTCAGTCCCTCAGTCTGGAGAAGAGTATTGTTCCGTTGTCTGAAACAATATGGAGTTGAAGTGACAGGATGGAGCCTTATATAGCACTAGGAGGTGAGATGTAGGCCACTAGTAGAGGTAAGAATGTTGTCGTTGGAAGGTCAGGTCCCTCTCAAATCCAGCCATTCTCACTAGTAGAAGTTGACAAAGTTGATTTCAGGTCTGTACCAAGATACCCTTGTGTTGCAGTGTCTGACAGAGTGAACATTAAAATGGTATAAAATACCGACAGTATCTTCTGCTTCTATCAACTTTTCTGTACTCGACTGAAGAAGCCTACCGTGTAGGCGAAACGTTTCGAAATAAAGATACCTAACTGTTGCATGTGTGTCTTACCTAACAACCTGTCGGTATTTTATACCATTTTAAAATACAGTTGTAGCAGCTCCTCCATGAATGTAATCTGGCTTCATTATTATTATAATCATGGGGAAGCGCTAAACCCATAGGATTATACAGCACCTGTAGGGGATATGGAAGGTATTCACGTTTCAGGGAACTGGAGCACAGATCTAATTCCCTAGATCAAGAGCCCATCACCAGCATCAAGGAACCTCCGATGAGGGAAATCTGGCTTCAGCTTATAGACATCCTCACTTTAGATTGATCAATGCTGAGGGACAGATTACCTCATTTTTCACCATCTATATTGAACTCCATTCAAGTGAAAAAGTCATTGTTTATGAAACTGTCCTCAGAGTAAAGATACCAGGTGTTGCATATGTTTATCTGTTACAAGTGTCATTATGTTACCAGTGCTACGTGTCTCATCCGTTAAACAATTTCTTTATACAGCCTTCGAGGGAGGTTCCTTGATCCAAAATATTGGCCCTGATTGTTTTCCATTTCCCATATGACCCCCTGTGGGTTCAGTGCTTCCTCAGTACATCACATATTTGTCCATGGTGAAGCACTAAACCCGAACCTTCTAGTTCAAGGCTCCTCCCTCGAGACATCATTTGTATTCATATTATCTTCTTAAAGGAAACCAAAATAGCTTTTGGATCAATATTATTTATTGAGGCTGTCAGTTAAATTAAATAATTATCAACTAAATCAATATTTACACCACAAAGATCATATAGTACATATTCATATATATATATTAAGAAGATAAGTTGCAGTACAACTCACCGACATCAACATACATCTGAGGTGCATTTTCCTTTTGGCAATCAAAAAAAAAAATTAAAAAAACTGCTGAAACTTTGTAATAAATGTCACAATTCAAAGGGAGTGACACGGTAGATGTGGTGAGGCTGATGCTTCACTGATGACATAGTCTGAGCTGCTTCACTTGTAACACACACAAGTACTGGTAGATGTGGTGAGGCTGATGCTTCACTGATGACATAGTCTGAGCTGCTTCACTTGTAACACACACAAGTACTGGTAGATGTGGTGAGGCTGATGCTTCACTGATGACATAGTCTGAGCTGCTTCACTTGTAACACACACAAGTACTGGAGATATTGATATCAGGTAAAGAGTCCTTCAGCATTGCAGATCTATAGGTGAACATAGCAAGGCTGAAGGACTGACTACCTCACATCTACATCACTATTTCTGCTGACACATTTGTATTTCAACTAAGGCAGCAGCTCAGCAGGTGAAACATCTTGTCAGTAAAGATACCAAACTGTTGCACGTCTTGTATATTTGTCAGTATTGTATGTCATTAATGCTGTGACAGATCTGGTCAAAGAATTCTTGTCTGTGACACATGAGTACCAGGTTGTCATTTCTAAAACCTGCAGACTCAGAGTTTAAACCATGTCACTCCTTTTAAAATGTTTGGAAATGTTGCCAGTGTTGAGCACTTGCGGCCCTCGCAGTGAACAAGGGCACATCATCAATGCCTAATTGGTGATCAAAGAAAGACTGGCAAGTGTTGGCCACTTATGACTATGGAGCAGCAAGCTTTCACATGGAGTTTATGAGGCCAAGTTCATAAATGATAAAGAGCCGATCCCAAACTTACATGTTACATTCCCTGCCTCTCAACATATAATCGAGTTGTATTCCTAGTGTTCGAATTTTCAAATATTCTTGGTGTTTCAATTTACCGGGAATAACTCCATTTGTTTGAATGTACAAACAGTATTCCTGGTATTTTAACTTACTTACCAGTTATCCACAAATAGTACAAATGATGGTTATATTTCACATACGTTGGCAGCGCTGTATGACCCTGGCGGGTTTAGCACTTAGTTTTCATTATAATAATAATCACACGCTGGTACTGTGGCTCAGTAGTTGTAAAGTTTGCATGTAATTTAGGATATCATTTGGGCTTAGAAGTTTCTTGTGAACATTATACTGTAACGTTTATAAGTCAGTGACGTCCTTTATGTACACGCCATGTATTCATTTTAAAATACACACATTGACTTCTGTAATTAAGTCAAGGTCCTACAACATTGTATACAAAAAAAAATATATCATTTATGCACTTGGCTCAGACAGAGAAGTCAAGATAACTATCAGTCTTGTTATATTGTGAGAGTTTAAAGTTGGTGTTATACACAAAACATCCACAAGACATGTAAACATTTTTCTGAATGTCTTGTGCATGAAGGAACATATAATGTTCCTATGGTTAATAGCCCTAGTGGAAAACAACCTGAACTCGTAGTCACCGCTCGGCAATGTTAAGAAATAACTGAGGTCGAGTTGCACTGACTAAATTTACTCACTCATCCATAGAGCAACAGTTAAGATATACATCACCCATAGTGTTGCCCATCCTTCACTATAGTGTTGCCCATCCTTCACTATAGTGTTGCCCATCCTTCACTATAGTGTTGCCCATCCTTCACTATAGTGTTGCCCATCCTCACTATAGTGTTGCCCATCCTTCACTATAGTGTTGCCCATCCTTCACTATAGTGTTGCCCATCCTTCACTATAGTGTTGCCCATCCTTCACTATAGTGTTGCCCATCCTTCACTATAGTGTTGCCCATCCTTCACTATAGTGTTGCCCATCCTTTACGAAGTGTTGCCCATCCTTCACTATAGTTTGCCCATCCTTCAACTATAGTGTTGCCCATCCTTCACTATAGTGTTGCCCATCCTTACTATAGTGTTGCCCATCCTTCACTATAGTGTTGCCCATCCTTCACTATAGCAGTGTTGTCAGACCAGCTATGCTGCCACCTACACTCCACTACAATGGCAGTAGTGCCCCAAACTCACTGTATTCGCCACCACTCCGTCACTGACCAAAAGTGGAAATATTTTAGACACTAAAGTATCTTGTATAGTACATAACTGCTTCACAATTATATACTAAGAACCAATAATTAGTGCAACTGATGTCACTTGCATCAGAATGCACAAAGGTCACTTCAAGTACATTATTTGCAAATGTAAAAATCAAATTGTAATGAGCATTGGTTTACAGTCAGTCCTTCGTGCGCTTTATCCAGTGCACATCACGAAAGTGTTGGGGTGCCAATGACCAGTCTTGGGTGCACTTTATCCAGTGCACGTCTGGAGTGTGTCGAGGTGCCAGCGACCAATCCTGGGTGCACTTTCTCCAACGCACATCCACGGAAAGTGGGGGCGCCAACGACCAGTCCTCAGTGACGCTGTATCCAATGAATGGTTGATGGGAGCCTGGCCGGTAGCGACAAGTCTTTGGTACACAGTGTCTGTCATGTGCCTGAGGAGCTCCTCTGTGCCAACGACCAGTTTTCCTCGCACTGTGTTTAAGACACGGTCGGGAAGTACCCGAGCGGCGACTACTTCTAATGAATCACACAGCGGAATGTTTATTTGGCAAAAATGCTGCCATGTTGTGCCTCACTCTGACCCCATCTATCACATCAAGGAGGTTCTTGGAGTCCATCGCCAACACGTGTGCCGCTGCAAGCAACTGCCTGAAATAACGTGAATTATACCTAGATATGAGGAAGTAGGGAGAATTATTATATTGCTGTATGACCCATACAGGCTACTGCTTGTTTTATCAATAATGGTACCAATCAAACCATACCACAGGTAGGGCTTGAACCTGTGGTTAGAGTTGTAAAACTCCAGACAGATGCATTAGCCAATATTAATAATACTGGGAAAGTGCTAAACCCTCAGGAGTCATACAGCACTTGGGAAATGGGAGGCAATTAGCTTTGATCAAGGAAGAGAGGATTGTCCTTACATTTATATATTTCTTTCTTTCAACACACCAGCTGTATCCCACCGAGGCGGGGCGGCCCAAAAGGAAAAACGAAAGTTTCTCCTTTTACATTTAGTAATATATACAGGAGAAGGGGTTACTAGCCCCTTGCTCCCAGCATTTTAGTCGCCTCTTACAACACGCATGGCTTACGGAGGAAGAATTCTGTTCCACTTCTCCATGGAGATAAGAGGAAATAAACAAGAATAAGAACTAGAAAGAAAATAGAAGAAAACCCAGAGGGGTGTGTGTATATATATATGCTTGTACATGTATGTGTAGTGTGACCTAAGTGTAAGTAGAAGTAGCAAGACGTACCTGAAACCTTGCATGTTTATGAGACAGAAAAAAGACACCAGCAATCCTACCATCATGTAAAACAATTACAGGCTTTCGTTTTACACTCACTTGGCAGGACGGTAGTACCTCCCTGGGTGGTTGCTGTCTACCAACCTTCTACCACAGGACGGTAGTACCTCCCTGGGTGGTTGCTGTCTACCAACCTTCTACCTATTACATTTATATATATATAGTGACAAAACACTATATAAATACCAGCACATCATCAGGTTGTGGAGGCTCAAGTCTCTGACTCTGAAACACCACTAACAGTCTGGTTATCCCAAGGAATATACTGAGTCTGGACTATATAAAAAAAAGAGGAGAGCTGTGTCAAGTGCAAATTTTGGGAGAAAATAGGCTAACATTCAATGATTGTTATATAGAATGTTTTCAGTTTTGTTGGTAAGAAGTATCTCATCAACTGCTGGAGATGAAGCAGCCTGAGAGGCTGTAACTGTTGCTGAACTATGGTACGAGTGCGAGGGAGACCAAGATATAAGGAAGAGAGGAAGGACAGAGGGATATAATGAGGGAGGAGGGAATAATGAAGAGGAGAGATGGATATGAGGTAGGAGGATATAAAGAGATGTATATAATGAGGAGGTAAAGAAGAGATGTAATGAGGGAGAGGAGATATAATGAGGTAAAGAGGAGATATAATTAAGAAAGGAAATACATGAATACATTTGTGTCAACGTGTAAGAAAGGTCACTGTGCTCCGTGGAACAAGTGGTAGATATCTGTAGATAATAATCCTGACGAAGAACTAAACCTGTAGGGGTTATACAGCACATAGCAAATAAGAGGCAAATTCAGTCCATAAAAGGGAGAAAAGTTACACTTTTCTGTGAATGAAGAATACTTGAGGTTATGCCTGGAGCCCTCCTGGAGGGCCTGAGGTCATGACTGGAGCCCTCCTGGAGGGCCTGAGGTTATGCCTGGAGCCCTGGAGGGCCTGAGGTTATGCCTGGAGCCCTCCTGGAGGGCCTGAGGTTATGCCTGGAGCCCTCCTGGAGGGCCTGAGGTTATGCCTGGAGCCCTCCTGGAGGGCCTGAGGTTATGCCTGGAGCCCTCCTGGAGGGCCTGAGGTCATGACTGGAGCCCTCCTGGAAGGCCTGAGGTCATGACTGCAGCCCTCCTGGAAGGCCTGAGGTCATGACTGGAGCCCTCCTGGAGGGCCTGATGTCATAACTGGGACCCTCCTGGAGGGCTGGGAGTGAACCTGGTCATCTTACTTGCGGTACTCCTCATCCAGGGTGGTGTTGCTGTACTTCTGCGCCAGTTTGTATGCTTGAACCAGGTCGGTCATGTCCTTGGAGAGAACCTTGTGTGCCAACTCCACCTGTCAACCCAAGAAACATATTACCAGCCACAATTTTGAAGCATCTTTTGTGTACAATGATGAGAAAAATTTTTAATAATGACTGTCTTCCAAAGAGGTGAGCTAACCAGAAAAAGAGGAAATATTTTCACCATCATTTCTTCAATCACCGTGTTTGCCAGAAGTGTGTTGATGTCACAGCTCACCTGACCCTCTCCACAAATGTGCTGACGTCACAGCTCAACTGACCCTCCACTGCAACCCCCCCATCCATCGTTCAGAGTGCACACACATACAATAAAATAGAACAGCCTCTCCTCGCTTAACGATGAAGTTGCGTTCCTAAGACCACGTTGTTAAACGAATTCGTGGCTAAGTGAGGATCATACTATAATGGTAGTGGGTTTGTGTTAACCATCTTTGATATCGTTTTAACGTCACCTTTGTACCAATTACAACATTTCTGGTATATTTTTTAATGTTTATGCAGTAGTGTACTGTATAACAGAATAGAGGCAATCAGCTCTAATATACATTATTTAGGTATGAATACTGGTCAGAGAGCCCGTCATAAGTCCGAGTCGTCTGTAAACAAGTACGTCGCTAAGTGAGGAGAGGCTGTACACATTGATATACCTGGCTACAAACACTTCATATTTTTTTGCTTTGTTGTACCTCACCTGTCATGTGCCACCAAGGTAAGGTGATGCCACATTCACATCATATATGCTTATTACACTGTAGGTAGTTTTGTTATATAGGATGACATATTAATGAACATACTGTTGAAGTATGAACAAAATAACTCTTATGAAAAGATTCTGGGTAACTGGTTAGCCAAATCTGAGTCCTGGAGGTTAAAAGGGCAGTGCTTGCACTCTGAACGAGGGTGGGAATGTTGTTACAAGTGCCTGCACTCTGAAGGAGAGTATGAGGTCACTGTCTGTGCTGTAGTACTATGTACAGGTTTGAGGTTACTGTCCATGCTGTACTACTACAGGTTTGAGGTCACTGTCCATGCTGTGCTACTATGCCATGAGCTCAGTTAAGATAAGCAGTGAGTGGTAAATTTGGGCCTAGATATGAGAGGATAGGTCTATGTGGGAAGTGTGCACTATATAAAAAAAATCCTGCAGCACACAGTGCATAATGAGAAAAAAACGCAACCGTGTTTTTGGTTTGCAACAGCGACTTGAGGGTGTATTTTTGTATGGTTTTTATGATTGTAGTCTTGGTTTCTTGGTCTCATCTGATAGAATGGAAGATATATTACAGAAATAGAGATGATTTCGACTGGTTTCAGGACTGACGTGGCTTGAATGAACTCAAAGTTGCGGAAATGTTCGATTTTTGCCAATGTTCGAGAGTAAACAAATCACATTACCCATCCAATACACGTCAACTGGTGGGTCTAATATGCATTTATGAATGTGCTGATATTATTTATATAATTATTACAATATTGAATAACAGTAAATCTTCTATTTTTTGTGTGAATAAAAGTTCAAAATGGAATTCATGTGTAAAGCTCGAGAAGGTAAGTAATGACCAGAGGAAGTGTTATTTTAGTGCCAGGAATGTCTGTACTGTTTATTCTGGACTCTATTTTGAAACTGGAAAGATATATAAGCTAAATAGCTAAGAATTTGGTTGACTGGAACAGTGTAAGTGGCCTAAAATACGACTCAAAGTGGGCAAAATCACTGATGCATAAATATCACTGACACAGCTAAATCTGCAAAAGCATAATTTCATCAATTTTCCAACAAATTTTGTACTTTTGGTTTCATTACCTTTGGAAAGAGATTCTCTATTATTTTGAAAGATTTTTTTTTTAGTTAGGGTGGGGGGGGGGGGGGTTGAACTCTTGGAGAGTGAGAACAATTTTCAGATCAGAGGCTGGAACAATGAAAGACTTAATATTTCCTTTCCAGTCCCCAGAACTACAAACATACATTACTTCAAATATCTGATCTCTAACACCATCTACTGTGGTCACGACCAACATCTGAAGGTTAGGTAAGGTCTATCAGGAAACATGACAGGTTTGGTTAGGTCAGGTTTGTCAGGAAACAGGACAAGTGTTTCCTGACACAGGTTCTAGTCACAATACGATGACCCCCAGCAGACTTTTGGTCATATGAACTTATTGGCTTACCTTTTAAAATTATTATATATGATTATAACCTTATTGTTTGTGTCCCAAAAAGTCAACATGAATCATGTGAAACAACCATGAAGTGTAGGTCTAAGTGACCAGGGTTATTTAGAATCCAGACTTGACGGTGGTCTATGTGAAAACCATTTGAATGGGGTACTAGTGTGAAAACCAACAACTTTGGAGTGAATCTAGTGAGTGGTGAGAAACCAACTTGAAGGTGTCTAGGTGTGAGAACCAACCCTTTGAAGGCTAGGGTGGTGAGAACCAACCTTGAAGTGGTCTAGGTTATAACCAACTTTTGAAGGTGTCTAGGTTTGGTGAGAACAACCTTTGAAGATGTCTAGGGGTGGTGAGAACCAACCTTGAAGGTGGTCTAGGGTGGTGAGAACCAACCTTGAAGTGTCAGGGTGTGAGAAACCAACCTTGAAGGTGGTCTAGGTGAGAGAACACAACATTGAAGTGGTCTGGGTGGTGGAACACAACCTTGAGGTGGTCAGGGTGGTGAGAACCAACCTTGAAGGGTGTCTAGGTGGTGAGAAACAACTTGAAGGTGGTCTAGGTGGTGAGAAACCAACTTGAAAGTGGTCTAGGGTGTGAGAACCAAACCTGAAGGTGGTCTAGGTGTGAGACCAACCTTGAAGGTGTCTAGGGTGGTGAGAACCAACCTTGAAGGTGTCTAGGTGGTAGAACCAACTTGATGGTTAGGTGTGAAACAACCTAAGGTGGTGTGAAACCAACCTTGAAGGGGTCTAGGGTGGTGAGAACCAACCTTGAAGGTGGTCTAGGGTGGTGAGAACCAACCTTGAAGGTGGTCTAGGGTGGTGAGAACCAACCTTGAAGGTGGTCTAGGGTGGTGAGAACCAACCTTGAAGGTGGTCTAGGGTGGTGAGAACCAACCTTGAAGGTGGTCTAGGGTGGTGAGAACCAACCTTGAAGGTGGTCTAGGGTGGTGAGAACCAACCTTGAAGGTGGTCTAGGGTGGTGAGAACCAACCTTGAAGGTGGTCTAGGGTGGTGAGAACCAACCTTGAAGGTGGTCTAGGTGGTGAGAACCAACCTTGAAGGTGGTCTAGGGTGGTGAGAACCAACCTTGAAGGTGGTCTAGGGTGGTGAGAACCAACCTTGAAGGTGGTCTAGGGTGGTGAGAACCAACCTTGAAGGTGGTCTAGGGTGGTGAGAACCAACCTTGAAGGTGGTCTAGGGTGGTGAGAACCAACCTTGAAGGTGGTCTAGGGTGGTGAGAACCAACCTTGAAGGTGGTCTAGGGTGTGTGAGAACCAACCTTGAAGGTGGTCTAGGGTGGTGAGAACCAACCTTGAAGGTGGTCTAGGGTGGTGAGAACCAACCTTGAAGGTGGTCTAGGGTGGTGAGAACCAACCTTGAAGGTGGTCTAGGGTGGTGAGAACCAACCTTGAAGGTGGTCTAGGGTGGTGAGAACCAACCTTGAAGGTGGTCTAGGGTGGTGAGAACCAACCTTGAAGGTGGTCTAGGGTGGTGAGAACCAACCTTGAAGGTGGTCTAGGGTGGTGAGAACCAACCTTGAAGGTGGTCTAGGGTGGTGAGAACCAACCTTGAAGGTGGTCTAGGGTGGTGAGAACCAACCTTGAAGGTGGTCTAGGGTGGTGAGAACCAACCTTGAAGGTGGTCTAGGGTGGTGAGAACCAACCTTGAAGGTGGTCTAGGGTGGTGAGAACCAACCTTGAAGGTGGTCTAGGGTGGTGAGAACCAACCTTGAAGGTGGTCTAGGGTGGTGAGAACCAACCTTGAAGGTGGTCTAGGGTGGTGAGAACCAACCTTGAAGGTGGTCTAGGGTGGTGAGAACCAACCTTGAAGGTGGTCTAGGGTGGTGAGAACCAACCTTGAAGGTGGTCTAGGGTGGTGAGAACCAACCTTGAAGGTGGTCTAGGGTGGTGAGAACCAACCTTGAAGTGGTCTAGGGTGGTGAGAACCAACCTTGAAGGTGGTCTAGGGTGGTGAGAACCAACCTTGAAGGTGGTCTAGGGTGGTGAGAACCAACCTTGAAGGTGGTCTAGGGTGGTGAGAACCAACCTTGAAGGTGGTCTAGGGTGGTGAGAACCAACCTTGAAGGTGGTCTAGGGTGGTGAGAACCAACCTTGAAGGTGGTCTAGGGTGGTGAGAACCAACCTTGAAGGTGGTCTAGGGTGGTGAGAACCAACCTTGAAGGTGGTCTAGGGTGGTGAGAACCAACCTTGAAGGTGGTCTAGGGTGGTGAGAACCAACCTTGAAGGTGGTCTAGGGTGGTGAGAACCAACCTTGAAGGTGGTCTAGGGTGGTGAGAACCAACCTTGAAGGTGGTCTAGGGTGGTGAGAACCAACCTTGAAGGTGGTCTAGGGTGGTGAGAACCAACCTTGAAGGTGGTCTAGGGTGGTGAGAACCAACCTTGAAGGTGGTCTAGGGTGGTGAGAACCAACCTTGAAGGTGGTCTAGGGTGGTGAGAACCAACCTTGAAGGTGGTCTAGGGTGGTGAGAACCAACCTTGAAGGTGGTCTAGGGTGGTGAGAACCAACCTTGAAGGTGGTCTAGGGTGGTGAGAACCAACCTTGAAGGTGGTCTAGGGTGGTGAGAACCAACCTTGAAGGTGGTCTAGGGTGGTGAGAACCAACCTCTCTGTGTGATGCTGGTCTAGGGTGGTGAGAACCAACCTTGAAGGTGGTCTAGGGTGGTGAGAACCAACCTTGAAGGTGGTTAGTGTGGTGAGAACCTACCTTGAAGGTGGTCTAGGGTGGTGAGAACCAACCTCTCTGTGTGATGCTGGAGGGATGGTAGAGATGAGAGTGTCGACTGTTCCTAGAAGATCTCTTAACTCTAATCCGACCTTCTTGACATGGTCAAGGTAGTGCTGGGTGTGACCTTCCTTCACGTCGTGTGTCAGCGCCGTTATGGCTTTCACCACGTGAATCGTCGACTCATAAACCTTGTCGTTGCTGCGGTCCAGGTCGGCGGTTGGAGTCGGTTCAACTTGCTGCACAGAGAAGTAGAGTAATGATAGTGGTAATAATGTACAATGATAGTGGTAATATTGTACAATGATGGTGGTAACACTGTGAAAGTAAGGCTGTGGTACAACTGCAAGTGAAAGTAAGGTCATGGAACAACTGCAAGTGAAAGTAAGGCCATGGAACAACTGCAGGTGAAGGTAAGGTCATGGAACAACTGCAGGTGAAGGTAAGGTCATGGAACAACTGCAGGTGAAGGTAAGGTCATGGAACAACTGCAGGTGAAGGTACGGTCATGGAACAACTGCAAGTGAAGGTAAGGTCATGGTACAACTGCAAGTGAAGGTAAGGTCATGGTACAACTGCAGGTGAAGGTAAGGTCATGGTACAACTGCTGGTGAAGGTAAGGTCATGGTACTTGAATGTACAAGAGACTTCTCATTAATTTCATACGGACCATTTCTGATTTTAATTTGTACATGATAATGGTACAAAGTATCAGTTTATGCAGTCGCAGTATTAAAAATGGTTATACAACTCTGATACAGTGAACTTTTACCTTGACGACGATCTTTGGTTCTTCTGGCACCGAGCCAGAACCATTGGAGAGTGGAGTGGGCGATCTCTCTCTGTGGTCCTGTGTTGGCGCAGGTGAAGGTGAGGACGGTGGGTGGTAGGTGCCAGGGGAGTCACTGTCTGAGTCGGACTTGTCAGAGGCGCTCATGGCAAGGGACATGCGCTTTCTCTGTAAAGATGAAAGAAATAATTCACCACAATTCTTTTTCACCCTGTGGTAGTAGGTTGGTAGACAGCAACCACCCAGGGAGGTACTACCGTCCTGTGGTAGTAGGTTGGTAGACAGCAACCACCCAGGGAGGTACTACCTCCTGTGGTAGTAGGTGGTAGACAGCAACCACCCAGGGAGGTACTACCTCCTGTGGTAGTAGGATGGTAGACAGCAACCACCCAGGGAGGTACTACCATCCTGTGGTAGTAGGTTGGTAGACAACAACCACCCAGGGAGGTACTACCATCCTGTGGTAGTAGGTTGGTAGACAGCAACCACCCAGGGAGGTACTACCGTCCTGTGGTAGTAGGATGGTAGACAGCAACCACCCAGGGAGGTACTACCGTCCTGTGGTAGTAGGATGGTAGACAGCAACCACCCAGGGAGGTACTACCGTCCTGTGGTAGTAGGTTGGTAGACAGCAACCACCCAGGGAGGTACTACCGTCCTGTGGTAGTAGGTTGGTAGACAAACAACCACCCAGGGAGGTACTACCGTCCTGTGGTAGTAGGTTGGTAGACAGCAACCACCCAGGGAGGTACTACCGTCCTGTGGTAGTAGGTTGGTAGACAGCAACCACCCAGGGAGGTACTACCGTCCTGTGGTAGTAGGATGGTAGACAGCAACCACCCAGGGAGGTACTACCAGTCCTGTGGTAGTAGGTTGGTAGACAGCAACCACCCAGGGAGGTACTACCGTCCTGTGGTAGTAGGTTGGTAGACAGCAACCACCCAGGGAGGTACTACCGTCCTGTGGTAGTAGGATGGTAGACACAACCACCCAGGGAGGTACTACCGTCCTGTGGTAGTAGGATGGTAGACAGCAACCACCCAGGGAGGTACTACCGTCCTGTGGTAGTAGGTTGGTAGACAGCAACCACCCAGGAGGTACTACCATCCTGTGGTAGTAGGTTGGTAGACAGCAACCACCCAGGGAGGTACTACCGTCCTGTGGTAGTAGGTTGGTAGACAGCAACCACCCAGGGAGGTACTACCATCCTGTGGTAGTAGGATGGTAGACAGCAACCACCCAGGAGGTACTACCATCCTGTGGTAGTAGGTTGGTAGACAGCAACCACCCAGGGAGGTACTACCATCCTGTGGTAGTAGGTTGGTAGACAACAACCACCCAGGGAGGTACTACCATCCTGTGGTAGTAGGTTGGTAGACAGCAACCACCCAGGGAGGTACTACCATCCTGTGGTAGTAGGTTGGTAGACAGCAACCACCCAGGGAGGTACTACCATCCTGTGGTAGTAGGTTGGTAGACAACAACCACCCAGGGAGGTACTACCATCCTGTGGTAGTAGGTTGGTAGACAGCAACCACCCAGGGAGGTACTACCGTCCTGTGGTAGTAGGACGGTAGACAGCAACCACCCAGGGAGGTACTACCATCCTGTGGTAGTAGGTTGGTAGACAACAACCACCCAGGGAGGTACTACCATCCTGTGGTAGTAGGTTGGTAGACAACAACCACCCAGGGAGGTACTACCATCCTGTGGTAGTAGGACGGTAGACAGCAACCACCCAGGGAGGTACTACCGTCCTGTGGTAGTAGGACGGTAGACAGCAACCACCCAGGGAGGTACTACCGTCCTGTGGTAGTAGGGCGGTAGACAGCAACCACCCAGGGAGGTACTACCGTCCTGTGGTAGTAGGTTGGTAGACAGCAACCACCCAGGGAGGTACTACCGTCCTGTGGTAGTAGGACGGTAGACAGCAACCACCCAGGGAGGTACTACCGTCCTGTGGTAGTAGGTTGGTAGACAGCAACCACCCAGGGAGGTACTACCGTCCTGTGGTAGTAGGTTGGTAGACAGCAACCACCCAGGGAGGTACTACCGTCCTGTGGTAGTAGGACGGTAGACAGCAACCACCCAGGGAGGTACTACCATCCTGTGGTAGTAGGTTGGTAGACAACAACCACCCAGGGAGGTACTACCATCCTGTGGTAGTAGGTTGGTAGACAACAACCACCCAGGGAGGTACTACCATCCTGTGGTAGTAGGACGGTAGACAGCAACCACCCAGGGAGGTACTACCGTCCTGTGGTAGTAGGACGGTAGACAGCAACCACCCAGGGAGGTACTACCGTCCTGTGGTAGTAGGTACGGTAGACACAACCACCCAGGGAGGTACTACCGTCCTGTGGTAGTAGGTTGGTAGACAGCAACCACCCAGGGAGGTACTACCGTCCTGTGGTAGTAGGACGGTAGACAGCAACCACCCAGGGAGGTACTACCGTCCTGTGGTAGTAGGTTGGTAGACAGCAACCACCCAGGGAGGTACTACCGTCCTGTGGTAGTAGGTTGGTAGACAGCAACCACCCAGGGAGGTACTACCGTCCTGTGGTAGTAGGACGGTAGACAGCAACCACCCAGGGAGGTACTACCGTCCTGTGGTAGTAGGACGGTAGACAGCAACCACCCAGGGAGGTACTACCATCCTGTGGTAGTAGGACGGTAGACAGCAACCACCCAGGGAGGTACTACCGTCCTGTGGTAGTAGGACGGTAGACAGCAACCACCCAGGAGGTACTACCGTCCTGTGGTAGTAGGTTGGTAGACAACCACCCAGGGAGGTACTACCGTCCTGTGGTAGTAGGTTGGTAGACAGCAACCACCCAGGGAGGTACTACCGTCCTGTGGTAGTAGGTTGGTAAACAACCACCCAGGGAGGTACTACCATCCTGTGGTAGTAGGTTGGTAGACAACAACCACCCAGGGAGGTACTACCGTCCTGTGGTAGTAGGTTGGTAGACAGCAACCACCCAGGGAGGTACTACCGTCCTGTGGTAGTAGGTTGGTAGACAGCAATCACCCAGGGAGGTACTACCGTCCTGTGGTAGTAGGTTGGTAGACAGCAACCACCCAGGGAGGTACTACCGTCCTGTGGTAGTAGGACGGTAGACAGCAACCACCCAGGGAGGTACTACCGTCCTGTGGTAGTAGGTTGGTAGACAGCAACCACCCAGGGAGGTACTACCGTCCTGTGGTAGTAGGTTGGTAGACAGCAACCACCCAGGGAGGTACTACCGTCCTGTGGTAGTAGGTTGGTAGACAGCAACCACCCAGGGAGGTACTACCGTCCTGTGGTAGTAGGACGGTAGACAGCAACCACCCAGGGAGGTACTACCATCCTGTGGTAGTAGGTTGGTAGACAGCAACCACCCAGGGAGGTACTACCGTCCTGTGGTAGTAGGACGGTAGACAGCAACCACCCAGGGAGGTACTACCATCCTGTGGTAGTAGGTTGGTAGACAACAACCACCCAGGGAGGTACTACCGTCCTGTGGTAGTAGGACGGTAGACAGCAACCACCCAGGGAGGTACTACCATCCTGTGGTAGTAGGTTGGTAGACAGCAACCACCCAGGGAGGTACTACCGTCCTGTGGTAGTAGGAGGTAGACAGCAACCACCCAGGGAGGTACTACCGTCCTGTGGTAGTAGGTTGGTAGACAGCAACCACCCAGGGAGGTACTACCATCCTGTGGTAGTAGGATGGTAGACAGCAACCACCCAGGGAGGTACTACCATCCTGTGGTAGTAGGATGGTAGACAGCAACCACCCAGGGAGGTACTACCATCCTGTGGTAGTAGGATGGTAGACAGCAACCACCCAGGGAGGTACTACCGTCCTGTGGTAGTAGGCTGGTAGACAGCAACCACCCAGGGAGGTACTACCATCCTGTGGTAGTAGGATGGTAGACAGCAACCACCCAGGGAGGTACTACCGTCCTGTGGTAGTAGGATGGTAGACAGCAACCACCCAGGGAGGTACTACCGTCCTGTGGTAGTAGGTTGGTAGACAGCAACCACCCAGGGAGGTACTACCGTCCTGTGGTAGTAGGATGGTAGACAGCAACCACCCAGGGAGGTACTACTGTCCTGTGGTAGTAGGATGGTAGACAGCAACCACCCAGGGAGGTACTATCATCCTGTGGTAGTAGGTTGGTAGACAGCAACCACCCAGGGAGGTACTACTATCCTGCCAAGTGAGTACGAAGCAGAAACCTGTAATTGTTTTCCACAATGGCAGGATTGCTGGTCTTTTTCCGTCTCATAAACACGCGGGATAACAGATACATCTTACCACTTCTACCGACACTCAGGTTACACTACACATACATGTACAAACATATATATGAACACACCCATCTGGGTTTTCTTCTATTTTCTTAATAGTTCTTGTTCTTGTTTATTTCTTATCTCCATGGGAAGTGGAACAGAATTATTCCTCTGTCAAGCCATGCGTGTTATAAGAGTCAACTAAAGTGCCGGGAGCAAGGGGCTAGTCACACCTTCTCCTGTATAAATTACTAAATTAACAAAGAAAAATTTTCGTTTTTCTTTTTAGGTCCCCCTGCCTCAGTGGGATACGGCCAGTTTGCTGAAAATATAACTTTTTTTCACAAGTAATACTGTCGTCACTCTTCTCTCTAATATATACATCATCATCTTTTCACTGTTTCACATTTTCATTTTTTTCAAACTGAGCCGTTGTTCATTATTTTCCACAAGCTGGCAAAAATTGCCGTCGAGTGGAACAACGGCTCAATTGAAAGCCAACAAAACATGGAACACTGAAGAGATGATGTGTCCCTCTTGTACTAAGCACTGCTCCACAACTCCAACAGCCTGCTTGATCACCAAGAATGTGGAAAATAACATTGACCTGGATAAAGAAATCACAGACCAACATTTATTTTTTAACATAATGACTGTCTCCCACTGAGGTAGGGTGACCTGAAAAAGAAGAAACACTGTCACCATCATTTGTTTAATCACTGTCTTCCCAGAAGTATGCTGACATCACAGTTCTGATGTCCCTCTGAACTCCAGTATCTCCACCTATCCTTCAGAGTACAGGTACTGTACTACCCACCTCCAGGACTCATGTCCGGCTAATCAGGTTCCCTGAATCCCTTCATAAATGTTACCTTGCTCACACTCAAACATCACATCAAATCATATAAACCACTTACTACCACTCACTCCTATCTAAAATGCTCACACAATCCTGTTAAGTGTCCAAGCCTCTAGCACTCAAAACTACCTTTGCCTCCTCCTTCCAACTCTTCCCGGAATGACCCCCTACCTCCCTTTGTCCTCCACCCAATTTATATACCCTCCTAGTCATACTAATCTGTTCTATCCTCTCTAAATACCCAAACCACCTCAACAACCCTTCCTCCACCATTTGAATTATAATTTTAGTAACCCCACATCTCAAAGATACAAATTGTCTGCAAAATATCTCCACCAAATTTTGGGTTCGAGAAACATGGAGATGCTTGGGGAAATACACAACGGCTGAACCATGGTGTATTAAAGGTTGTGACAGCCACCAGCTGTCACATTCCTAAGCTGTGACACTAAAAACTGTCTACAACATAACAATAACACACTGACATCAAACATAACACTCTACACTGAAAGAAAGAAACCCAAAGTATTTCTTCTCCTATGCCAAATCAAAGTCGAGAACAACGTCCAGTATTGGGCCCCTACTTAAACAAGATGGGTCCTACACAGATGACAGCAAGGAAATGAGTGAGCTACTCAAGTCCCAATATGACTCAGTTTTTAGCAAGCCGCTAACCAGACTGAGAGTCGAAGATTAAAATGAATTTTTTATGAGAGCCACAAAATTTGGTTAACACAAGCCTATCCGATGTTATCCTGACGCCAAATGACTTTGAACAGGCGATAAATGACATGCCCATGCACTCTGCCCCAGGGCCAGACTCGTGGAACTCCGTGTTCATCAAGAACTGCAAGAAGCCCCTATCACGAGCCTTTTCCATCCTATGGAGAGGGAGTATGGACACGGGGGTCGTCCCACAGTTACTAAAAACAACAGACATAGCCCCACTCCACAAAGGGGGCAGTAAAGCAACAGCAAAGAACTACAGACTGATAGCACTAACATCCCATATCATAAAAATCTTTGAAAGGGTCCTAAGAAGCAAGATCACCACCCATCTAGAAACCCATCAGTTACACAACCCAGGGCAACAAGGGTTTAGAACAGGTCGCTCCTGTCTGTCTCAACTATTGGATCACTACGACAAGGTCCTAAATGCACTAGAAGATAAAAAGAATGCAGATGTAATATATACAGACTGCAAAAGCCTTCGACAAGTGTGACCATGGCGTAATAGCGCACAAAATGCGTGCTAAAGGAATAACAGGAAAAGTCGGTCGATGGATCTATAATTTCCTCACTGACAGAACACAGAGAGTAGTCGTCAACAGAGTAAAGTCCGAGGCAGCTACGGTGAAAAGCTCTGTTCCACAAGGCACAGTACTCGCTCCCATCTTGTTCCTCATCCTCATATCCGACATAGACAAGGATGTCAGCCACAGCACCGTGTCTTCCTTTGCAGATGACACCCGAATCTGCATGACAGTGTCTTCCATTGCAGACACTGCAAGGCTCCAGGCAGACATCAACCGAATCTTTCAGTGGGCTGCAGAAAACAATATGAAGTTCAACGATGAGAAATTTCAATTATGTACTCAGATATGGTAAACACGAGGAAATTAAATCTTCATCAGAGTACAAAACAAATTCTGGCCACAAAATAGAGCGAAACACCAACGTCGAAGACCTGGGAGTGATTATGTCGGAGGATCTCACCTTCAAGGACCATAACATTGTATCAATCGCATCTGCTAGAAAAATGACAGGATGGATAATGAGAACCTTCAAAACTAGGGAGGCCAAGCCCATGATGACACTCTTCAGGTCACTTGTTCTATCTAGGCTGGAATATTGCTGCACACTAACAGCACCTTTCAAGGCAGGTGAAATTGCTGACCTAGTAAATGTACAGAGAACCTTCATGGCGCGCATAACGGAGATAAAACACCTCAATTACTGGGAGCGCTTGAGGTTCCTAAAACTGTATTCCCTGGAACGCAGGTGGGAGAGATACATGATTATATACACCTGGAAAATCCTAGAGGGACTAGTACCGAACTTGCACACGAAAATCACTCACTACGAAAGCAAACGACTTGGCAGACGATGCAACATCCCCCCAATGAAAAGCAAGGGTGTCACTAGCACGTTAAGAGACCATACAATAAGTGTCAGGGGCCCGAGACTGTTCAACTGCCTCCCAGCACACATAAGGGGGATTACCAACAGACCCCTGGCAGTCTTCAAGCTGGCACTGGACAAGCACCTAAAGTCGGTTCCTGACCAGCCGGGCTGTGGCTCGTACGTTGGTTTGCGTGCAGCCAGCAGCAACAGTCTGGTTGATCAGGCTCTGATCCACCAGGAGGCCTGGTCACAGACTGGGCCGCGGGGGCGTTGACCCCCGGAACTCTCTCCAGGTAAACTCCAGGTAAACACTACCTCCAGCCTCTACAACATAACAATGACACACTGACCTCAATGAGTGGAACAAACTCCCGAGTACAGTTATTCAGGCTAAAACGTTGTGTAGTTTTAAAAATAGGTTAGATAAATACATGAGTGGGTGTGGGTGGGTGTGAGTTGGACCTGACTAGCTTGTGTTGCTGGGTCTGGTGCTGTGCTCCATCCTTCAGTGGAGGTGACTCCTTCATTGGGTCATCCTAACTTGCTGGTATAACTGACAAAAATAACAATAATACACAAATACCCTGTACCCAGGAAAAAGAAGCTTATGAAGACATTTCGATCCCACTTGGACCATTGTGACTTGTAAATGGTCCAAGTCGGACCAAAATGTCATCATAAACTTGTACGTGCAGGTTATGTGTGCGTTGTTCTAGTCACGGTATTATGCCGTTTTGTTCTTGAACAACAATGTAAACTGTGATATTCCAGCACCCAATAAAATTCCTTAAAAAGATTCATGGTTATTTTCCTAACAAACATTAATCAAGACTCACCATATTGTTTTCTTCATGTGTGAGCCAGCGATTGTCTTCCTCTGTCTGTCTCTGTTGCTGTCTGAGTCGTTGTTCCAGCAACTTGTGTTGTAGCTCGGCCACGTCTGCAGGCAGTCCTGAGCCACCCATACTGCTTGGTCCTCCTAGGCTGCCTGCGCCACTCAACCAATCGCCTGTATTGCTGTGCTGACTTCCCTGACGCTGTCGTTGTCAGGCAAAACAAATATAAGTACAACATTACCTGACAGTTATCAATAATATACCTGGTCATCTTCAAGCTGACTTTGTACTTCCTAATAGTCAATTCTGCCCCATTATTATTCCTCTCTCAATATGTAATAAGTCATTAAATTACATACAGTGGACCCCCGCATAACGATCAGCTCTCAACTCGACCAATTATGTAAGTGTATTTTTGTAAGTGCTTTTGTAGGTGTATTTTTAGGGGTCTGAAAAGAACTAATCTAATTCACAATATCTCTTATGGGAACAAATTCGGTCTATAACGGCACCCAAACAGACTTCTGGATTGAAATAATATCGTTATCCGGGGGTCCACTGTATTTGTATTCTACCAATCTTCATCTGTCTACACTTAAGTAGTCTATAAGTATTAGATTTAGTCTGCTGGAAATGCCTCAGCTTGATAGTGGTTTTCTTTGTTCCACTCAAATTATGATGTGTAAACACACATTGTAATTGTAGCAAAGAAATCAAATTTGATTTTATTTTATTTATTTTATTTAATAAAAGTGATTTAATGATCGAGGATGAGCCAAATAATTGACTGAAGTTCCTTCAACAAATTGTGGATTAGTTGTAAATTGTTACAGCCACTGTACTGTAGTTGTAACTGTTACAGCACTGTACTGTAGTTGTAACTGTTACAGCCACTGTACTGTAGTTGTAACTGTTACAGCCACTGTACTGTAGTTGTAACTGTTACAGCCACTGTACTGTAGTTGTAACTGTTACAGCCACTGTACTGTAGCTGTAACTGTTACAGCCACTGTACTGTAGTTGTAACTGTTACAGCCACTGTACTGTAGTTGTAACTGTTACAGCCACTGTACTGTAGCTGTAACTGTTACAGCCACTGTACTGTAGCTGTAACTGTTACAGCCACTGTACTGTAGTTGTAACTGTTACAGCCACTGTACTGTAGTTGTAACTGTTACAGCCACTGTACTGTAGTTGTAACTGTTACAGCCACTGTACTGTAGTTGTAACTGTTACAGCCACTGTACTGTAGTTGTAACTGTTACAGCCACTGTACTGTAGTTGTAACTGTTACAGCCACTGTACTGTAGTTGTAACTGTTACAGCCACTGTACTGTAGTTGTAACTGTTACAGCCACTGTACTGTAGTTGTAACTGTTACAGCCACTGTACTGTAGTTGTAACTGTTACAGCCACTGTACTGTAGTTGTAACTGTTACAGCCACTGTACTGTAGCTGTAACTGTTACAGCCACTGTACTGTAGTTGTAACTGTTACAGCCACTGTACTGTAGCTGTAACTGTTACAGCCACTGTACTGTAGCTGTAACTGTTACAGCCACTGTACTGTAGTTGTAACTGTTACAGCCACTGTACTGTAGTTGTAACTGTTACAGCCACTGTACTGTAGTTGTAACTGTTACAGCCACTGTACTGTAGTTGTAACTGTTACAGCCACTGTACTGTAGCTGTAACTGTTACAGCCACTGTACTGTAGCTGTAACTGTTACAGCCACTGTACTGTAGCTGTAACTGTTACAGCCACTGTACTGTAGCTGTAACTGTTACAGCCACTGTACTGTAGCTGTAACTGTTACAGCCACTGTACTGTAGTTGTAACTGTTACAGCCACTGTACTGTAGCTGTAACTGTTACAGCCACTGTACTGTAGCTGTAACTGTTACAGCCACTGTACTGTAGCTGTAACTGTTACAGCCACTGTACTGTAGCTGTAACTGTTACAGCCACTGTACTGTAGCTGTAACTGTTACAGCCACTGTACTGTAGCTGTAACTGTTACAGCCACTGTACTGTAGCTGTAACTGTTACAGCCACTGTACTGTAGTTGTAACTGTTACAGCCACTGTACTGTAGCTGTAACTGTTACAGCCACTGTACTGTAGCTGTAACTGTTACAGCCACTGTACTGTAGTTGTAACTGTTACAGCCACTGTACTGTAGCTGTAACTGTTACAGCCACTGTACTGTAGCTGTAACTGTTACAGCCACTGTACTGTAGTTGTAACTGTTACAGCCACTGTACTGTAGTTGTAACTGTTACAGCCACTGTACTGTAGTTGTAACTGTTACAGCCACTGTACTGTAGTTGTAACTGTTACAGCCACTGTACTGTAGCTGTAACTGATACAGCCACTGTACTGTAGCTGTAACTGTTACAGCACTGTACTGTAGCTGTAACTGTTACAGCACTGTACTGTAGCTGTAACTGTTACAGCCACTGTACTGTAGCTGTAACTGTTACAGCCACTGTACTGTAGCTGTAACTGTTACAGCACTGTACTGTAGCTGTAACTGTTACAGCACTGTACTGTAGCTGTAACTGTTACAGCCACTGTACTGTAGCTGTAACTGTTACAGCCACTGTACTGTAGCTGTAACTGTTACAGCACTGTACTGTAGCTGTAACTGTTACAGCACTGTACTGTAGCTGTAACTGTTACAGCCACTGTACTGTAGCTGTAACTGTTACAGCCACTGTACTGTAGTTGTAACTGTTACAGCCACTGTACTGTAGTTGTAACTGTTACAGCCACTGTACTGTAGTTGTAACTGTTACAGCCACTGTACTGTAGTTGTAACTGTTACAGCCACTGTACTGTAGCTGTAACTGTTACAGCCACTGTACTGTAGCTGTAACTGTTACAGCACTGTACTGTAGCTGTAACTGTTACAGCACTGTACTGTAGCTGTAACTGTTACAGCCACTGTACTGTAGCTGTAACTGTTACAGCCACTGTACTGTAGCTGTAACTGTTACAGCACTGTACTGTAGCTGTAACTGTTACAGCACTGTACTGTAGCTGTAACTGTTACAGCACTGTACTGTAGCTGTAACGGTTTATGACAGATTTCTTGTGTCGCTCATGTTATTAGGCAGTAGTGTGTAATTAACAATGTATAGTTACTGGACCAGAACTAGGTTCATGGTCCAGTCTTCAAAACTTGTCGTACTGGACCAGAACTAGGTTCATGGTCCAGTCTTCAAAACTTGTCGTACTGGACCAGAACTAGGTTCATGGTCCAGTCTTCAAAACTTGTCGTACTGGACCAGAACTAGGTTCATGGTCCAGTCTTCAAAACTTGTCGTACTGGACCAGAACTAGGTTCATGGTCCAGTCTTCAAAAACTTGTCGTACTGGACCAGAACTAGGTTCATGGTCCAGTCTTCAAAACTTGTCGTACTGGACCAGAACTAGGTTCATGGTCCAGTCTTCAAAACTTGTCGTACTGGACCAGAACTAGGTTCATGGTCCAGTCTTCAAAACTTGTCGTACTGGACCAGAACTAGGTTCATGGTCCAGTCTTCAAAACTTGTCGTACTGGACCAGAGCTAAACTTTTCCAACAGATCATCTTCAATTTTTAATCAATCATAAAGTTTGTTGATGGGTCTGCAAGAGTAATAAGTGTGACCAGGTCACACAAAGCCTGTGACCAGGTCACACACGGCCTGTGACCAGGTTGCACAAAGCCTGTGACCAGGTTGCACAAAGCCTGTGACCAGGTCACACACAGCCTGTGACCAGGTTGCACAAAGCCTGTGACCAGGTCACACACAGCCTGTGACCAGGTTGCACAAAGCCTGTGACCAGGTTGCACAAAGCCTGTGACCAAATTGCACAAAGGCTATGCACCACTGACTGCTGATCAATGATCAATTTTAAAGTGAACGACAATCTGTTGCAAAGCAAAAATTTATAAAAAAAGTTTACGCACTACCTTTAAAATATCAACAATGACTCGGAACTTTCTGGGTATATTTTGTAGGCAACGTCTGGCATAGTTATACACTTCTCTTTATGTATATGCTTTTTAATATACTATATTGAAACAAAATATGAAATTTTCTCAACATTCGCTACAAATCCGTCAAAATACTGGTGCTCCTTGACTTACTATGGTTCGACTTACGATATTTCGACTTTACGATGGTGCAGCAGCAGTTACTTTGGAGACGAAACTTGAGATAATTACCCAACATGAAGGTAACAAGTCCATAACTTATATTCATTTATTTTTTAATATGTACTGTTATTAAGTTATTTACATAATGCTTATTTGCTTATTCAACAACAGTAGCTATTTACTTATTTATTTAGCATATGTTCATATTCGACTTATGATATTTTCAACTTACGACGTATTCATCGGAAAGTAACCCCACCTGTATAATACAAGTACAGTAAGTCAAGGACCACTTGTATAATACAAGTATAGTAAGTCAAGGACCACTTGTATAATACAAGTACAGTAAGTCAAGGACCACTTGTATATAAAACTCTTAATGAGCAATGCTAAAACACCTTGTAATAATACACCTGCACAATTCATATATTCATTTGTTTACTAGATACACAGGTTGAGACTTATAGATAGGTACCTAGAACTGGCACTAGTACAAGTAGGCAGTCTTGTGTACTAGAAGGTAGTGCTGTATACTAGACACACAAGTTTTCTAACATATAAAGCACTAGACAAGTACAGTTCCTAGAACTCACACTAGTGTCTCTAGGTGGGCTACTCTTGCACTAGAAGCGAGTGCTCTTGTCAAAGTGCAAAATAAAAAACTCTCTCAGGCCTCTACAAAATCAACCAAGTAACAAGGATCACAACCATGGCTATATACACAGCAAATTATAATTTTAATCGCATGACAGGGTAGGAAATAATTTATGGAATAATTATAAGTGCACCCTGCAAAGAAAGGGTTTATAAGGATAGTGAGAGAGAACTTAACAGAACACACACATGTGCAGGTATGGTCGGAAGAAAGTTGTGTCCGGTTGTGGCTTGGACGCTGATAACTGTGTCCAGTTGTGGCTTGGACGCTGATAACTGTGTCCAGTTGTAGCTTGGACCCTGATAACTGTGTCCAGTTGTAGCTTGGACCCTGATAACTGTGTCCAGTTGTAGCTTGGACCCTGATAACTGTGTCCAGTTGTAGCTTGGACCCTGATAACTG